CACTCATGCCATAGGTTTGCCACCACTGCTATAGGCACATATTACAGGGCACCCAACCAAGCAGAAGAAATGGATGAAATCTTTGGTAATCAGTTAAAAAATTATGTAGGAAACATACCACACTAGTAATGGGAGACTTTAACTACCCTAGTATCAGCTAAGAGACAAACTCTGCAGCAAGTGGGGGAATCAACAGATTCCTAACCAACTTAGCTTGTCATCCAAAAGGTAGAGGAGGGGAAAGCTATTCTAGATCTAATTCTTACAAATAGAGAAGAAGTGATAGAGGGAGTTGAAATTGCCGGAACCTTGGGCGAGAGTGACCATGTCATACTGGAATTCAATATAATGCAAACACAAGCAATAGAGTATAATCCAACCTACATCTTAAAATTTAAAAACCTGATTTTAACAAACATAGAGAGGGTCTAAGCAAAATTTCATGGATAAAAATCCTAAAGGGGAAAACAACTCAAGAAGGGTGGGAAACTCTGAAAAATATGATCATAAAAGCCCAGTCCAACACAATACCACTAAAAAAGAATAACAAGAAATCCGAGAAGAAACCAGCATGGTTGCACAAAGATCTCTCTGATAAACTAAAAGACAAAAAGGTTAAGTACAAAAAATGGAAAGAGGGACACATAACTAAGGCAGAATATCAGTAGATAGCCCGAATCTGCAAAGATGAAGTCAGGAAAGCAAAAGCTCATAATGAACAAAGACTTGCAACAAAAGTCAAAGATCACAAAAAAAGTTTCTTTCAACATATAAATAGCAAAAAATAAGTCAAGGAAACAGTTGGTCCACTAAAGAGAGAAGATGACAAGGAAGTAACAGGCACTAGAGAGAAAGCAAAGTTGCTTAACTCATTATTTGTATCAGTCTTCACACAAAAAGAAACTATAACCCAACCTACTAAAAACATAACTGTAAAAAACAGACTAGAAATAAAAATTAAAATAAGCAAGAAAATGATAAAAATATGCCTGTCTGACCTTGATGAATATAGATCTCCAGGATCTGATGGATTACATCCCAGAATTCTGAAGGAGCTGGCAGATGCTATCTCAGAACCATTGTATTATATCTTTAAAATATCTTGGAGCACTGGGAGCTACCAGAGGATTGGAAAAGAGCTGACATGGTTCCCATCTTCAAAAAAGAAAAAAGAAAAAAACAGACCCAAGAAACTACAGACCAATCAGCCTAACATGATTGGGAAGATACTGGAAAAAATAATCAAGAAACAGATCTGTGAACATCTAGAAACAAATAAAGTTGTAACTAGTAGCCAGCACGGGTTTGTTAAAAACAGATCATGCCAAACCAATTTTATTTCATTCTTTGACAAAGTGACTAAATTAGTAGACCAGCGAAATGCTGTGGACATAGTATATTTAGACTTCAGCAAGGTATTTGACAAGTAGACTACACCCTACTTCTTGGTAAATTAGAAAAATTTGGGACAGACAGCATCACACACTCAACGAGCTATCCTTAATGGTATTACATTTACATGGAGGAAAGTAAGCAGTGGGGTACCACAAGGTTCCATCTTAGGCCCAGTACTCTTCAATATCTTCATAAATGACTTAGATAAGGGAATAGAGGGCAATTCATCAAATTTGCAGATGAAACTATGCCCTTTAGGAATACAACACCCCAGAAGCCAAGCTCAGAATCCCAAAAGACTTGAACAATGGGCCCTATCCAACAAAATAATATTTAATGTGAAGAAAAGTAAGGTTTTACACCTGGGCAGGAAAAACCAAAGGTACAAGTACAAATTAGGTGAAACCTGGCTCAAAAACAGTAACTGTGAGAGGAACGTTGGAGTCCTAGTGAATGGTCACTTAAACATGAGCCAGCAGTGTGCAGCAGCCGCCAAAAAAGCAAATACAATCTTTGGTTGTATAAACAGAGGCATAGAATCAAAATCACGTGAAATATTAGTATCGTTTTATAAAGCCTTAGTAAGGCCACATCTGAAATACTGCATCCAGTTTTGGTTGCCACATTACAAAAATTATGTTGAGATTTTGGGGAAAGTGCAAAGAAGAGCAACTAAGAGGATTAAAAGTGAAGAACGGTTGCAGGTTTTGGGAATGGCTAGTCTAGAGAAAAGAAGGACTAGTGGGGACATGATGGCAGTATTCCAGTATTTGAGAGGCTGCCACAAGGAGGAGGAGAGTCAATTCATTTTCCAAAGCACAGAAGGGAAGACAAAAAACAATGGATGGAAATTAATCAAGGAAAGAAGCAACCTGGAATTAAGGAGAAACTTCCTAACATAAGGACAATTAAACAGTGGAACAGCTTGCCTTTAGACATTGTGGGTACTTCATCACTTGAGGTTTTTAAGAAGAGACTGGACAGCCACTTGTCTGAAATGGTATAGGTCAGGGGTAGGCAACCTTGGCTCTTTTATGACTCGTGGACTTCAACTCCCAGAATTCCTGAGCCAGGTGTGCTGGCTCAGGAATTCTGGGAGTTGAAGTCCACGAGTCATAAAAGAGCCAAGGTTGCCTAACCCTGGTATAGGTTCTCCTGCTTGAGCAGAGGGCTGGAATGTGGTAGTAGACCTCCAAGGTCCCTTCCAGCTCTATTCTGATTCTAATTCTGAATCGTTGGTAGTCTGTGGCCTGTATAAACACATGTTAAAAATACATTTTCTTTCATTTGAAAACCATATTTTATTTTAGAACGATTTGTTAAGCAGGGACAGAAAAGCGTTCTAAGCAAATCGATCTTGAGATATAACACTTTAATTCAATGGATGGACGTGACTCGCAATTCTCTTTGTGCGGAGCCTGGTCTAATGTCAGCGTCTATGTCAGTGTGAGGATAATGAGGGCAAGGAGCCGACAAACAATGCAACCGAACGGTGAAACGTTCAAAGGGAAAAGCCGTATTAATAAGATTCAGTCCAGTCACTCTTTTTAAAATTCCGCCAGGCATTTTGCTGTCAGAATTCCTAAACCAGCGTTTTTTGAAATGAGAAGTGTGGACTCCCAGAATCCCGCAGCCAGCCACACTTAACATCTTGCAGTCGCCCAGTTGGAGAAACGCCGTGACGGGCTATTAGCTCCCCCCTCCTTCATTTACATTAACCTCATTTGCTCCCGCCCCCACTCCGATGGCCGCGCTCAGAAAAGAACGGAAATTATCGTGAGATAGCCCCGCGCAAGGAAACGAAAGCAATCTACGTCACTTCCTTTCTGGGGAATGACTGCGATTGGTGGACAAGCAGGCTATATATACCCGCGATCAGACAGCGCGGCCCTCTTTCTCTTCGACCTCAGAGAAGCCTTCATACGGCGTTGTCATCTCGTGAGTCGTGTAACGCGTGTTAGGAGGCGGCACTGTGCTCGCTTGGGCCACGCAATGTGGCTGGACGGTGGGAAGCGGCGGCATTGGGAGGAGGCAGCTGTCTCTGCTTTGGGTTGCCGAAATGGCTGGGATGCCCCGCATGTTTCAGGCCTCCCGCCTTGTCTCGTTTTGCAAAACGCCATCCTGGCGCTTCCGACGGTTTTGAAACTTTGCAAACCGAGCGCTGTCCTGTATTTACTCTAGTTCAAAATTGAAACGAAGGCACTGGAAATGAGTAGAATGCGAGGCCATATTATTATATGGTTAGGTTTTTAATGTGCCTCCAAATGTAAAACATGCTGGTTTTGCTTCGTTGGTCCCATCTGTAGCCTTTAACCTTACAGCGCAATATTGGCCATGAAAATACCTCCATCTTGCTCTTTTTCAGCTATTAAAAGTTATCCCAAATAATAAGAATGAGGGAGAATGATGCATGGATTGAGGTTTTCCAGTGAGTGGCCACGTCCTTTGAATCGTTTTCAGAAAAGTGGTTTCCTTTTTCTTAAAAGATGTCAAGTACTGATGTTCATATTTTCATCTTAGCAGGATCAGTTTGACTTCTAAGAACTAAAAACAATTCATTAAAACAGTACAGGAATAACTTTTCTGGCCCCTGTAAAATGCTGAAGATGCATATGCCTAAATGAGTAACAGCTGCTGTGCTCATACTTGTGCTATGGCCAAACAAAGCATTTCTTCCCAATTTTAAAACATTCAATAGGCCTAGTAAGTATACTTCCTTGTGTAGCTTTCTCATTAAAACTATTCAGTCTCTTGAGTAGTTTTTTAAAAAACCCAGTCATTTTGATTACTACAGTATTGTTTTTTTTAGATTACAAGTTAATTGCTGAATGCTGGAATGTTTTTCTTAAACTGAGTTGGAAACAATAGAACAGCAATTGAAGTTTATTGATTCTGACTTTATAAACTGATTTATAGTTAACAATTTTCTCTATAGTAGCAGTTATTACTTCCATTTTATAGCTGGGCAGTACTGATTAAAACGTAACTTTAAAATAATAATTAATTTTGCTGATTTTTGTTCTAGGTTTCCTGTCGTTGCTTTAAAGGGAAACTCACAATGTCCGGAGGCCTTGATGTTCTACAGATGAAGGAGGAAGATGTCCTCAAATTCCTTGCTGCAGGAACCCATTTGGGAGGCACCAATCTAGATTTTCAGATGGAACAGTATATATATAAAAGAAAAAGTGATGGTAAAAATTGGGATTTTTTTAAAATTGTTGATTATAGACTTCACCTTATGTTAGTGATGTCAGAATCATCATTATGCACAATAGTGGAATTTGCTATCAGAATTTATAAATTCCAAGTTGGTTCATACAATATATTTCCCCATCCTGAGTTTTATTCCTTGTGCCAAAAGTAAAACATTTTAATGCTTCCTTTCAGGTGGGTCCTTTTCATGATTGATTTGGCCTAGTTTCTATCCATTCCAAAATCTTCATAGAACAGGTCACGAACTGAAATACCTTTTTTTCTTCCCAATTCACGGGCCTTTTTTAAAATTAAATGGTACAAAAGTAAATTTTCCCTTATATGATGCTGATATTTTCATGGAACCCTATTGCTATTGAAATCTTAGAGTAAGCAGGTTGGTATGTGTTTTAACTGCACACTATTAAAACTTGGAGCTGAGGCCAGTTTCTGGCCAATTAACTCTTTGAGTGTCGGAAGTGTGCTACAGTAAATTCTGGCAGGATTTTCGCTAACACCAGTAGAGTGTTTCTTTGTGACTGGGGTTTGATAGTAGTTGCTGCCACATTCCAGATTTTTGAAGACAATAGTAGACAAGAGGGCTGGATTTTATGCATTTTGTTGAGCATTCCCATATTTAATTGAAAACCCTACATCTTTTTATTGAGGTATTTACATCATCAATCTGAAGAGAACCTGGGAAAAACTGCTCTTAGCAGCCCGTGCCATTGTTGCTATTGAGAATCCAGCTGATGTCAGTGTTATTTCTTCCAGGAATACTGGGCAGGTATGGATACACTTAGCCAGAAGATGAAAATTGTATCCTGATTGTATGTATGTCCCATCACGAACCATCTAGAACAGTGTTTCTCAACCTTGACAATTTTAAGGCATGTGGACTTCAACTCCCAGAATTCCTGGCTGTGGAATTCTGGGAGTTGAAGTCCACATGCCTTAAAATTGTCAAGGTTGAGAAACACTGATCTAGAACAAGTAATACGAATTAAATTTTCTTTAGGTCAAACTTATATATATATTTATGTCTGGTGCTCCAAAATGACATTACTCAATTCAGTCCTGCTTGTACTTGCAAAATTAGTAATTGCTTTATTGATTTTGGGGAATTTTCACTAGAAACATATCCATTTTGTCATTTCTTTTACCTCCCCATTGTAGCGTGCTGTTTTGAAATTTGCTGCAGCTACTGGTGCAACTCCAATCGCTGGCCGGTTTACTCCTGGCACATTTACCAATCAGATCCAGGCTGCTTTTCGTGAACCTCGCCTTTTGGTGGTCACTGATCCAAGAGCTGATCACCAGCCGCTGACTGAAGCATCGTATGTAAACATTCCCACCATTGCCTTGTGCAATACAGATTCTCCCCTGCGTTATGTGGATATTGCTATTCCCTGCAACAACAAGGTATGTCCTCCAATACATCTATGTTTTTTCAAAAAGCACTTCTAGCTGTGGTTGCGCAAAAAAAATTGAGTAGGTATAATATAAAATTTGTTTTCAAATTTTAGGAGGGAAGGAAATATATGCACGCTTGTTAGAACTCAGGGCTGAGGATGGCTTCTATCCAAAGAACTTCTGAGTGTAGGAAGTGTGCTACATCAATTTCTGCAAGTCTTTTCGCTAACACCATAAGAACCTCTTGGGTTCAATGAATGGGGTTTGATAGTGATTCTTGCTACATATTTAAAAGAAACAGCAGTCAATTGCTATCTGAAGAAAATCAAGCTGAGTTGGTTAAGCTATATTTTGTTTTCTTGTCTTCCTGAATTGTTGATGACATGATCCTTTATTCAAATTCAGTTAAATAGTCATTCATGAACTTATGTGAGCATGTTGAAAATCTAATTGACCATTATCTAACAAATGTTTAGGGAGCTCACTCAGTTGGTCTGATGTGGTGGATGTTGGCTCGTGAAGTCCTGCGAATGCGTGGCACTATTTCCCGTGAGCATCCATGGGAAGTTATGCCTGATCTCTACTTCTACCGAGATCCTGAAGAGGTAAAAATGTAACATATATTTGACTAGATTTATAATTACTTTTTTTATTGAAATAAGTCATTTTTGCATTGGTAACATGACCACATATTTTCTACAGTGTGTGGTCTGGTAACACAACACCAAAAAAGTATTAAAGTAAAAGTGTCGAAAGAGATACTTATCTTAAACATAGAAATCCACAGTGCACGGTTTGTACTAAATCGCTCATTTTCAAACTGTAAACTCATAAAGGTATTGGTGCTATCCAGAAAACTTTAATTTATAGTTGTAACTTGATTTGCCTCCTGTTTAGATTGAAAAAGAAGAGCAGGCTGCAGCTGATAAGGCAGTTACCAAGGAGGAGTTCCAGGGTGAATGGACAGCACCTGCCCCTGAATTCACTGCACCTCCACAACCTGAGGTGTCTGACTGGTCTGAAGGGGTACAAGTGCCTTCAGTCCCAATACAGCCTTACCCCACTGGTACGTAAAAAGTAATTGAGAAGAATGCTGACTGGATAATGTATCGTAATTTACGTAATGGTAAAATATTTTTTTTTACAATTGATAAACCAATTCCCTTTTGAGGAGGTAGTAGATTCAAGAAATGCAAAGTTTGAGAAAGAAGTGGGTAAGAGTCAGTATCTAAGACATGGACATACAGATCTCAGACATCCATTTGCATTCTCTATTAATCTATTAGTTTTCTTTATTCTCCTTTTCCGGTTGCCTCTTGATAGCTTTTAAAATGCTTCCACTTATGCTGGAAATTTTAATTTCAAATTGCTACTCAGATGTAACATAGGTTTTGGAGGTAATGCCTACATCTAAAACATGCAACGGGGCAATTTGGCTCTACATGGCGGGCAGTTTTATTTTCTGGAAGAGGAATTAAAAAGAGGAAGCTGAATTAGATGGCATCCATTGAAGTTCTCTACTAGAAATTAACTGATATAGGGGCATACTGTTCCAAGGACCTGTGGAACATCCTCTTTCCCTAAAGATCATACCAAGCATCTTCTGTACTGTGCTGTTTGGGACAGGGAGCAGTTTGGCACTTAATTGAACTAAATCCTTCAAATCAAGCCATTTCGAGTGTTCCTGAGATATTCCTATTTCATGAAAGTCTATTTAATCCAGGACACATGAAGATCCTTCCAGTTCATGAGGTTTATGACTAAATCAAAATCTCCCCCTAGAATAGCTTGATTCACATGAAAGTGGGCCACTTGGAATTCTCCAGAATTCTCTGTTCCTGCATTGAGGTTTTGTACTTAATTGAAATGGCTTTGATTCTGTTCATCTTTGTATAAATATTTGTAACACAAATTTCCAAATTTTGGAATACAGTTGCTATTCACAGAGAATGATATCAAAATATGGTAATGAAGATGCAGGAAGTTGCTTAAATTTTTCAAAACCCAGTGTGATTTTCTATTTTTTTCCAGAAGATTGGAGTTCACAGACTGCCACTGAAGACTGGTCTGCAGCTCCCACTGCTCAAGCTACTGAGTGGGTTGGTACTGCCACAGAATGGTCCTGATTAAGCAATAACAATTCAAGAATTACAGTTGAAGAATAAAATATCTTCCTTGTTAACTGAGATTGAGTTGTTTTTTTCTTACATTTTGGTTGATCTGAGAAATTATGCAGGATCAGCCATTACATACAGGGAAGCTTGCCGTAGGGATGTTCACCTGGGAAAGTCAGAGCCAGGAAGCTGAAAGCTAGTACTGTAACTCTCCAGAAATGGCACCACCGCAGCTACTAAGAGATTTGCCAAGTTACATCCATCCCAAAAGCAAATAGCGTGTCAAGTTGCAGGGCTTAAAGAAAGGAACATTTTTATTCCCTAAATTCTTTCCCATTACTTTTTGATATCTTTTCTATGAGAAAAAGGGAGTACTTTTTTCTCCTTTGATACAGAAGACAGGTTGGGCGGGATTTATGAATGGACAAGCTTTAATTTGGGGTCTCTGTAAAGGTTTGCTGGCTGAGCATCTCAAATTCTGCTATATTACGTGTTTGAAATTCACACTTCACAAGAATACTATACAAGTGATATAAGATGGTTTGACCTAAAAGTCTTATGTAGAATAATGCCAAAGGTCTTTGAATCACATGTCAAAGAGTTATATTAGTATTGTCTGACATATTCAAAGAATAACTAGCTGGGAGACCCAGCTAGCTGGGAAACGGCACATTACATTATTTTTTTTAAAAAAATGCCATGTTCTAAAATAGTTTGGGAACAAGGAAAATATTTTGCCTTACCACCTTTGTTATGTTTCAGATAGACAGAGTAAAGCATTTAATAATTGACTTTAGAACAGGGTTATTAGATTATGTGTTCTAGTTAATCTAGGATTTCTGTAAACTTGTGATAACTATTTGGCTAACAAGGGTTTTCTGAGGTTTACAGAATGTTTCATGTGTAGAATTCAATATCAGAACAAAACATGCTTATTGTGGTCTCTGAACAAATCTTAAGCTGTTTCAGATGTCCTAATTCTAGGAACACAGTTATAGAAAACAGGTCATTATGAATGTTCGGAACTCAAAACAAAATGTGTTCCAACAGTTTTATCGCTATGTTAGAACAAAACACTGCAGCAAAGCTTTCTGTACTTCAAATGGTGTTTTTTTTTTACTTAAAATCGCTTGCGTGCCTCCCTTCTAAAAATTACATAATACATTTCTTGGCTTGCCATCTTTATTCTAGTTATTCCAGTTTATTCTATGGGATCTTAACCTGCATTCAAGAGATATGGACAAAAACATTCCTTTTTTAACTAAGACTATGGAAGAAAAATGTGTTATATAATCAGAGTTCTCTGAAATTTTATTTTTCAAACTAATAACAGCTGCTGTGAGATTGATAATATAAGTTTAAATGTATTCCATAGTCTTGGAAATAGTTGTAATGCTTCATAACCTTCATAACTTATAAATCAGGCATGACCAACCTGCGGGCTACATGCAGTTCTGGACAGCTAGTAAAGTAGCAAGATAATATAAAATATAAAAAAGGAAGTTTGTTATTTATATACTTTATTATATATATTATATGCGGCCCAGACAATTCCTTTTCATTCTGCAGCCCAGGCAAGCTAAAAAGTTGGACAGCCATACTCTAAACTAGGAATGGGCAATTTTCCCAAGGGGCCATATGAGAAACTGGGATGTTTCAACTCGGGCTGCTCCAGATGGGTGAACTTTGCACAGGCACAGAAAAGCACTTTTTCTCCTTGATGTCCAGTGGCCGCCAGCAGACTGAAGGAGCATGGTGACTGCGTAGAGCAGGGGTGTCAAACTCAATTTCATTGAGGACCGCATCAGCATTGCGGTTGCCCTCTGGATGTGTGGCCAGGGTGGGTGCGGCCTACTGGGTGGGCGTGAATGGAGTGGATGTGGCCTACTGGGTGGGCATGGCCAGCTCTACGTCATTCGCTTCAAGGGTGCCTGTGGGGGCCTGGGCAGGAGTGAGACAGATCTGAGGGTCTGGCAGAAGGGAGTGGGACCAGGGCAAGTGCCAAGGAATGGTCCACTAGAAGAGCCTCAGGCCTGTTCCTCTCAGGCCATGCGGGGGGGGGGGCTTGGTGGTGCGGGCTGCCGGGAGCCCTGGGCAGCAGAGGTAAACGCCCAGCCTGGCCCTCAAGCACTTGCGGCACCAAGCCCAGCCCCATTTTTCCAAGGGGGTGGCCAGCTGTACTTACCTCATCCTCAAGGCTGCTGCTGCTGTGCTTGCTCTCCTTACCCAGGTTGCTCATGATGGGTACGAGGGTGAAGTCAGAGGGAGACCCATTCCCTCTCCGTGGGAGGAGACCCGGCTTTGTATCCAAAGCTTCCTTAGCAATAGGATGGGAGACCCCCAGGATAGGTCAGGAGGAGGAGGCAAGGGGATGGTGAAAGGGCAGCATGGCAGGACTTCCCTCAGACCCTCCCTCTCCTTTCCTTCCTAAGTACAGAGTGGTGGGAAAATATTTGAGATGAGGGAGGGAGAAAAATAGGCAGCTGGGGAGGTGTCACCCTTTGTGAGGAATGAAGAAATGTACCATCGCCTGGAAGTGGCCAGCACATGGCTCTCAGTTACTTCACATATCTGGCTTGGTGGGCTCTAGGGAGGGGATGCCATGAGCAACGTGAGAGTCAACGTTACCTGCGCAATGCTGTCCAGCCCCCAGCCTGCCCGTTTCAACAGACAGCGAGGCACTCTCCTCACAGCACTGAGAGGCTGAGCCAGGCGACGCGAATCTGAAAAGAAGCGTAATGCCGCCCAGCCCTCAGCCTGCCTGGTTTCGGCAGGCAGTGGGGTGCTTTGCTCACAGCGCCAAGAGTTTGAGCCAGGCGGTGCGAAGCTCGTCAGCTTTGCACCTTTCTGCCTGCTGAAACTGGGCAGGCTGGGGGCTAGGCAGCATTGCATTTCTCATCAGATTCGCGCCACCCGGCTCAGCTCTTGACGCTGTGAGGAGAGTGCCCCGCTGCCTGCTGAAACCGGGCAGGCTGGGAGCTGGGTGGCCTCATGTTTCTTTTGGGATTTGTGCCGCCCGGCTCAGCCTCTCGGCGCTGTGAGGAGAGCACCCCGCTGCCTGCCGAAACCCCTCCCCTAGAGTCCATCAAGCCGGATATGTGAAGTAGGTAAGGGCCATTTCCTGGCCACTTCCAGGTGATGGTGCATTTCTTCATTCCTCACAAAGGGTGATACCTCCCCAGCATGCACCCAGGGGATGGGGCCGACGCGGCAGGGGCTGGTTCCTCACTGTTTCCAGATGGCCTTGTGGAGCTAAGACTGAATGTGTTTCAGCATAGATGGCCATCACAAAATTGTACATTGGCTCCCGGCCTGTCTGGCCAGGGCCAAGGCAGCAGGGGCTGTTCCCTCACTGTTTCCAGAATGGCTTCGCGGGCCACATGAAACCACTTCGCGGGCCGAATCCGGCCCCTGAGCCTTGTGTTTGACATGTCTGGCATAGAGCCAGACACTTCTACTTTTCCTGCTCCCTGCGGCACACTTACTTGCATTTGATTTTTAATTTCCAATTGACTTCATGACAGGAATGGGGCCTGTAAGATGCCCAAGTCTGCTGTAAACTATTACGATTTTGCTATCAATTGTTTGCCAATTCCCTCTTTTCCAGCTCTGAATAGATGTACTGTAAACTAGAGTCATAAATACTATGTAATATATAGATGTATTATAGAAAAAAATAATCATATACAAAAGCAAGGAAAATTGTAAGAGTGAATTGAAAGAAGTGCTACTATTGCACATATGAAAAAAGCTGAATTGTTTCCAATTATGACTACGAATTGAAATTAATACATTTGATTTTACAAAATTTTATTTAAAATTCTAATGTGTATAATGTATTTTCCACATTAATAAGAATTGTAAATATATGTAAGCTGTAAATATATGGAAAGCTTTTCTGTGGAAAAGGGAGTAAAAGGGAGATTTCAAACATTGCTGGAAACTTGGTTACCAGAGATGGAGTCAACTGGCAGGCCTTGGATCCACCTGCCAGCTCTCATTAGGAAGGGAGAAAAGACAAGCCATGTACCTCCTGATTGCCATGCTAGGATGGGATCACAACTGAGGGAACTCTATGGGGGAGCCAAGATGGTGCCTAACAGCCTGGGGAAGTGGTGTCAGGAGAGGATGCCACCTAAAAGACGCCAACAGAGAAATCAAAGAGTTTTCAAAGGCCAGCTATTCCTGTTATAATGGTAACATTTTGAAGTACATAAATCAAGCTACTCTGTTAATTTTAGAACCATTAACTGAGATATTGGTAGTTTTATCTGGTGGTATGTATTTCAGTAGTTTGGCTGATACCATAATTAGGTGTAATTAATCTTTACACTTTTGTCAAAACTTTGTTTCTTATTTACTTTGAAAACAGTTTTATAGTTACGATTCTAGATTCTAGATACATGGAGTCTTGTCAACACTGCTAAGCCTGGATGTTTCCCCCTCCAGCTGCCATCTCTAACTAGATATTGTCTTAAAGCCTAGGTAAACTATTTGTGTGCCAGATAGAAATAAATGAAAGTATATAAGAAGAAACCAGTGAGTTTTGGAGTTTGGCAATAACATTTCATCCCTGAATAGGAACTTTTCATCACCCTTCCAAGATAGTTGAAGCTCTTAAATTTCTAACACTGGGACAATTTTGTAAAATAACCAAGTTCATTAAGTACCATTATGTTCATGATCTAGTAGATATCATTGCTATTTCTATGCCATTGTTACTAGGTTCCCTTCCTCCAATTCCTGGATAAAGCCGCCTTGGATAAGATCCTGGTTTTAGTTGATTAGAGGAAGGCACACCTCTTCTTGGAATAAGTGGTTGGGTCGTTACCACAGAAGGTGAGGATGACAACAGGACTCCTTTCGCAGGACTTAAATTTGTTTCTTTCTCTGCAGAATGGTTTTTGTAGCTTGGTGACACAGGCTTATCTGGTTTAAAAGAAAAAGCATTGCACTAAAATTGTCAGTATTACAGCTAATAGAGCTAACGTAGAAAGTGACCACTAGGTGGCAGTGAAAAATTATCATTTTCTATATATAGTGTTTGATGATTTCTGAATGTTTGCAAATCAAATGTGGTAGCCTAAAAGGCAAGACCAAACTAACTATTATTAGCATGGCAAATTACTTAGTAGCTAACATTTTTAGAGAACTCTGTTAGCTAAACTGATAAGATTGAGTATCTAGAATACAAATTCACCTGATTTGTATGGTTTAGATACTATTAAATCTTAAACAGAGATGCCTTTGGGTCAAAGGAGTAACAATGCAGTGACGTAGCGTGGGTTGTCAGCACCTGGGGCAAGGCAAGTAATTTGCGCCCCCCCCTCCACAGTGGGCGGCGACCCGGCGGCTCGGATCGGATTCGCACAGCCAGCACTGCAGAGAGAGTGAGTGAGCCAGGCAGGGGCAGAGAGCTGCGAGTGCGAGCGCGCCCCCCCAGATGTTGCGCCCGGTGCGGCTGGCCCCCCCTGCACCCCCCACGCTACGCCTCTGTAACAATGCACACAATCATGCTTATTCTATACAAGTGACACCTCTTTTTTATGTGCACTGATATGAGTACTGTATGGAAGAGGTGGTGCTTGCACCTTTAGAGCACAAAGCAGAATTTGTTATTTTGATTAAAGCTTAACCTTGCAGTCTACTCTGATTTAGAGTATTTCACTGAACCTTACAAGACAAACTGAACTATGGCATAACATTAAATGTTGATTAATGATTAAACTAAGCTGGTGTTTAGTAATTAATTGAAAAGCTATAATGCAATATAAGCATTGTCTCTCTCTAGGTGTGTAGGATGAACTTGAGATTAAACAGTGGCACATTTGGTCTTTTATTTCGGGAGGACAACACTCTGCAAATGGTAGAGGAACTAAAGTTGTCCTATTATGTCAACTCATCCAAAGCAATATATGTATGAACATTGATTGGACACTATCTTTACCTTTAGCTGCATTGGGTCCTTCCATGTTTTTTGCATATGGAACAAGCAAGTCTTCTAGTTCTTGTGTTGCAGAATTGGCAGAAATCTTATTCTTATTTTTATCATCTTCCCGTTGCTGTACAAATAAAAACAGATGTCATGAAATACTTGATTCATTTGGAAAGAAGAATTGTAACATCTAATTTAGTCAGAATTGAAGTGGGACTTTTATGTGGATAATGTAATTTAAAATCAGAACAAAACTGGCAATTGATAATTTCTTTTAATCCCACATTTATTATTTTTATACATAACTCAAAATGCCAGGCATATCTAATATTCCTTCCTCCTTCTATTTTCCTCATAACAACAACCTTGTGAGGCATCTTGGCTGAGAGAGAGTGAGTGACTGGCCCAAAGTCACCCAGCCAGCTTTCATGTCTGGCTGAACTGGAGCAGTATCTGAATTTATCTTTGATCTTTCATTCTATCTCATATCAGTCTGAAGATATAATATATAGTATATTCAGACTAAAACAGGAAAATCTAGTCTAACGTGATATGAGGAAGTAGACAGGAGTATCTGAGAAGACTTTTCTCTGCCCATTTGCTATTTAAATTAGTACCTTTAATATTTAATTCCAGCCATGTTCTAAAATACATAATCATATGAAATGTATTCTAAATCTATTGTAATCTGAACATATTTATTTAGTTGAGTTTCAACTTGTATTTTTCTTTCTCATTTTGTCTAAAGAAATATTAAAATAAGAAAGGCAATAGTGAGCACAATAAAAGATAGAGATTTTTCCATTCATCCACTTTGTTTAATAGTCATATTACTTTAAAGAACCCCATAACTTTTATTTGGTCAATGTTTAAATGGTAGATTACATACCAAACTCAAGTACAAAGTTTACTCTAAATGTCTTGGTCCTAAGTAGATTTATGTGTTCAGAGTGATAAAAAAATAATCCAGGTTTAATGTATAAACTAAGAGGTCTATTAAAAATAAAACTCAGTGTTTTATAGATATTAAATATTCATGGGTGAATATTTAAAAAATCTTTTTTAAAAATATTTTTTGGAGAAGCTGCTGTGATTTTAACAAGGAATTAATAAGATACTGTAGTTAGCATATGAATAAACACATGACTTTTTCAACTGTATTGTTGAAAAAAAGTATAAAGCTATCACAAATAGTTGTCTATACACAAATAATGCAAATGCAAATAATGCAAATTTTTACATTTAAACTAACGTAATATAAACAAAACTAATACCATTTGCATTTTCTTTTTCAGCTCTGCATTGGCATGTTTGTATCCTTCAGCCACAGAATTCAGGTAATATATGGCAAGACTGTAAAATCAAATGTCAAATTTTAAAAAAAATCTGGGATACTTTATAGGACTTTAAAAATATACTAAAACACAGAGGGATTCTCAAACTTTGTGATATCCAGAATCTTATATGATAACTAAATCTGTGCTGCTTCTCTCATGGATAAAATCAATATTTCATTGCAGTCAGAGTTGGACCAGAAAGAAGCTGCTTTCTAAGAGGTTATGATATAATATAAAAACTGCTATAACAATTCCTTGACTTAGATTTACTTTTAACTATCAATAGACCAATCATTTAGCTCTTCCACCTACTACTTAAGAAAACATTTTCCATTATGAAAAGTTAATAGTTTAAAATAGTAGATAAAGACACTGATCTTCACTAACCCACAAGCTTCTACAGACTCAGTAATGAATGCATATATAGCTATATACTATCCTAAAAAATAACCAGTTGGCAGAAGCTAGACCTATGGGTTTGGCCATTTTTACAGGTCCTAGACTGAAGCCCGAGCAAAATAAGAATGAGCTTTCAAGTCTTCCTGATTGGCTTGTACAGACAAAAGCAGAGCTACTCTAAGATTCACTGTGAAGTTGTCCAGACAAAGTGAAATCATTTAAAAAGCACTCCCACTTTGCTTGAGCTAACCTAATCATCTTAAAAAATAAACACTGCTCATAGATTTTCCTCAGGGGGCTTGTAACCCATAGTATGAGAAATCACTTACTATTTGAAGGTTCATTTAGGTTAGATTCTAGATCTAGTTTTATATCAATAATTACTGAGATGTCAACTCAGGCGTTGAGCCTAGGGTTAGCCTGGTTAGACAAATTGAAACCATTTATCTGGGGGGAGAGAGGAATCTGGCAGATCCCCATATTGTCAAAGCAAGAATATACAGTATTTGCAGCGTTGACAGAAATCTGTTATGAATAATGCATCTATTTAAAATTAACTAAAACTACTAGATAATGAATTCCAGTTCACAACCAAATTCAAGAGAATGAAAACAATGTATTCCTAAGATTCTCATCTCAAATATGCAGTCACTACTAAATGTAGATAAATCGCTAATAAATTTGTTAATCACACTGGAAGCAACAATTTGTATAATGGATTCATGAAGAAAGATTTGGGAGTTGGCAGATTAAATTTTTTGGAAAAGTTGCATAATCTATTTACAAGGATTTTGCTTGATTTGCTGTCATATGCAGCACACACATTTTTTTTAACTCATGACAAATATTAATTGATAATCTAGTAATATATTCTTATCTACAAGATTCCAATTCCCCCAATCCCAACATTTCAGTCAATGCAACTTACATCATAAGCAAAATTGCGGTTATAATTAGTCCTGGATTTGCCAAATAACCTAAGACTTTAGCCACAACAGGTGGGAAATCGTATTTGATGGTTTCTTGGATGACGTCATACATTTTCTTTTTTCCACTGGAAGAAGAAATACACAGACAGGATTGTATAACAACAGGAATCAAACTTCAGCAAACAGAGGTTATACAAAAAGTCTTCATGCAACTTATTTTCAGAAAATACTGCTTGAATATCTTCAGCCTGTTATTTTTAAAGAAACAGTTGAATATATTTCTCTTCTCTTTTTCTGAATTTGGAAATTTAAAGTACCTAAAAATTAATAATGACAATCTCATGACACATGATTTTGAAAACAACAAAATATGTTCTTTTAAAAAATTGATACTACAGGTAATCTTCAACTTGCTTGACAGTTCATTTAGTGACTGTTCAAAGTTACAATAAAATGAAAAAGTGACTTATGACTGTTTTTCACACTTACGATTATTGCAGCATCCCCGTGGTTATGAGATCAAAATTTGAATGCTTGTCAACTGAGTCATATTTGTGGCGGTTGCAATGTCTTGGGAGTCATGTGATCACCTTTTGCAACCTTCCGACAAGCAAAATCAATGTGGAAGCCAGATTCACTTAACAATTACTAACTTAACAACTACTGCAGTGATTCACTTAACAATTGTGGTAAGAAAGGTTGTAAAATGGGGCAAAATTCATTAAATCTCTCTCTTAGCAATATAAATTTTGGCTCAATTGTGTTTGTAAGTCGAGGACTACCTGTATGGGAAACTATGCTTAATTCTGAATTTATGTTATTTTTAATGCTCAATATAAACTGGTTTAAACAATAAATACCACACCATATATTGTTGTTTTCTCCAACTTGGTACTACTCTTGTAAATTCTGCCTATAATTGTTAGACTTTCCAGTTAGTTAGACTTTGTATCAATTACAATTCTGGAAGTTGTAGTCCCAATATAACTGGAAAGTTAGGATGTGAAGGTCTGATTGCATGTTATTAACAACCATTTAATATGTAGTAAGAATTCGATGTGTCATAAAGTTACTAAATGATTATATGCCATCAACTTTTTTTAATGGAAAGACAGCATATGGTTTCAGGTGGAGATATGTTCTAATGGAATTTTAAAGACATGTCTAATATAATCCAAAGAAACAATCCTTCTTTCATCAAAAGATATTGCTGCTGACGTTTCTTATTAACAAAATAAAAATCCGAAGAACAGTTTGTTCTGAGCTGGTCCCAGACTGAGTCAGTATCTGCAGTGCAGCATGAAAGAGTTATTAAATCAAATTAGAGGTCACTGGGGTATTAATCCGGCCTACAGATCCATTTGAGAGAAACTGATTCACGCTGGAAGCACAAAACTCTTATTAATACAGTAGTCCTGGCACATACTCTGATCAAGTCAGCTTCTGTTATTCTATGTTCTCTACACTCATGATAGTTCATTGTGAATAAGTAAGGAAGGGTAGGTTTGTATTATAGATTTATATGTATGATTTTTTAAGGAGGTGTCCGGTGATACCCCAACTGCACAGGACGGGATGGTTGTGTGTGGAAGGGAAGTAGGAAAGAGGGAGGAAGGAGGAGTGGTGGTAGAATGGGAGGAGGAAGGAGTGGTAAGTGGAAGAGGGTGGTGCGGGAGGGGTACACCGGACACGTCTGTGAATGTTTTGTGTAGTTTTATTCTCTTTGGTTGATATTGTGATAAAAGATTTATGTTTTTGTTTTTCAAATGAAAAATAATAAAAATTTAAATACAAAAAAAAAAAAAAGTAAGGAAGTTTCAAATAATGCTTTGAAAACATACTTTTATTTTTATGTTTGCTGGTAGTTTCGGCTATATACCGAACCATTATATTTTTACCTCCTAGTTTAAACATTGCCAAATAGCAATCCTCTTGTTCAAGATAACATTTCTTCTTTATGAAACCAAATGTTCTGTCTGATCCACTGAGCAAGCTCCAACGATATTATCCAAACCCTCTGCATTTTCAACTCTTTTTTCTTATTACCATTTTCTTTTCCTACAATACAGTATGCATAAATCTATCTCTAAATAAAGTGATCCCCAAATTTGTATGATCTCCATAAGAATTGTTGCTTCAGGAATGCAGCTGCTATCAGAACTACAGGTTCCTTGTTTAATTCCCTGATGAAATTACTTGAATTCCCTATGATATATCTGCCAAAATCTGAAGACAGAGCTAGAATATCCTTCAGAGCTCTTGATTTCCCCCCAGAAAGATGTTTCTTATCCTGAAAATCTTGCTGCACCAGGATTTGCATAGCCTATAAAGGGGCAACAGACTGACCAAGGCAGGCAGGCAAGTACTATTGACAGTCCAACACGGTACTGTGAGGTCCAATAGTGAAGGCACCAGGCTAGAAAATGGGAGACCATGAGTTCTAGTCTCGTCTTAGCCATGAAATCTAGCTGGGTGATCTTGGGCCATAGTCACTCTTTCTCATTCCAAGTCATTTCCCAGGGAAGTTGTAGAGAAAAATAAAAGGAGAACGTGTTGGATATGTTAGCCAACTTGAGTTATTTGTAAAAATAATAAAGGTGGGATTTAGATAAATAGATAGATAGATAGATAGATAGATAGATAGATAGATAGATAGATAGATAGATACTTTAGAACGGCAAATTGGTGAAAACACAATGTAAAAAGGCAATTTGATAAAAATGAGAGCAGAGCTATTATTTCCTGTTTGGACACAATACTCCTATTAACTTAGCAACATACTGTATTTGTTTATCAGTTTTTATAAACTAATTCTATTAGCCACATGGATGATGTGTTCAGCTTTGGCTGTTAATGTGCGAACTTGAAAGAACCTTTTTCTAAAATTCAATTATTAAAACAAATACTTCTGTTTTCTCTAGTTACAAAACAACTAATAGATATATTATGAAGTATCATAAACATTTACATCTAAGTAATTTATTATCAGTCAAACCTACTTTAAATTTTGATATTCACATGAGAATGATTACAGTGTGTACAAATGAGTTTGAATTATTATTTTATTTTTTCAATTTTAGTATATATTTCTTGATTTTTGATTAATCATTCAGATAGCTACATAAATATTTCACTAATATTTCTTATAATTGCTATTTCAGTGTATGGAAATTATATAAAGTTATATTTGCATAATTTGTATTTTTTTTTCCTGAGAACTTGACTTATCATTGAAAAACAGCATTCAAGTAAAAGAATCAGGAAGAAATTTTTTCAGTACCTGAATGGTCCACAGTCAAAGGAAGGAGGCAGAGACATTATGGTATATGCAACTGGTAACACACTAAGGAACAAAATCAACAGCAAGAGTCCCATGTAAAAATTATTGGATTTAGAAGCTTTGAACACTCGTTCATGGGGGACATTGCTGCTCATAACAGCCCAGCTCTGGAAATACATGGAGATTAATAAACGTAATACGTTGATCCCCACAAGTCCTGGAGCATAAAAGGATCCCATCCTGTACATTAAGCGGGGTAGGGGGAAGCATGGAGAGAAGGGTAGAGGGGAAAGAGAAATACAAAAGAACACCCCTTTTTATAATGACAGATACTGCCTGCTTTCAAAAAGGTAACATATCAACCAGCTATAGTGAATCAAAATATAGATCTTTTACCAAGAAGTAGTGTCTTCATCATAATGTCAATTTTTATTAAAAGAATGCTTTTTGGATTGCAAAAAATATGCTTTTTCATCAGTCTATTCAGCAGTGGCAGAAAAGGAAAACAATTTTCATTAGCTTATTCAATAGTCTTGCCTATGATCTGACAACCTAGCCTATAAAGTGTCATGAAAGAGAGAAATAGGGCCTCTCCCTAAATACAATTAATTATGCAGAAGGCGAGTGAATCAATGCAGTTAGCACTTTGAATTTGCCATAGACCATGAATTTACTGAATTTTTTTCCAGATGCTGATACAGGACATTCATTGCCTCATCTATGTTCTATATAAAAACAAAACAAAATAAGCTTGAATGTTATAGCCTTATTTATGACAACCCACAACTTCAGATAATCACTTCCAGGGATTATATTTAGACCAGTGGTTCCCAACCTTTTTTATACCCCGCACCCCTAGAACGCTTCTGATATATTCTTGCACTCCTTACAAAAGTTTGAAATAATGGCAATGAATTATGCATATACACTATAATTTTGAAAACCCACGTTTTCACCCCCCCTGGAATATCGCCTCACATCCCCAGAGTGTGCAAGCACCCCTGGTTGGGAACCCCTGATCTAGACTATAAATAGTATGGGCAATAACATTGAGGTCTCAGAATTGCCATCACCTAGTCACTATAAAGCAAAGCTCTAAATTATTCTCTGGAAAATATATGCCAAGTAGGAGCAGAGCACTAGTTTAAGGCAGGGCCCCCAACATACGGTTCTGACAGACCAGAAGGATACAATGATCATTGGTTTCAAAAGTTACTGACAAGCCCATCAGGATACCTTGAATTCTGTGGGCTTTCTCTCCTAACTTGTCTTCCAATCTTATAAAATGGAAAAGCGAATGAACATCTAAAAACTCAACATGTAATGAATGCAATTATAGTGAAGGAGATACAAATGCAGAAGATATCTCTCATTTTTTTCCCTAACCAATAAAACTAGAATTAGAATGAACTTGCCACAGGTGTGGGGCAATAATATAACTGAAACAGCTACATGGCAGTTATGCAACCCATGAAAACTTGATCTGTAAGAAATGAAACAGTTTAATGTGCATATTGAGATCCCATGGGGTCCCACATTCTTTGAAAAAAAGATGAATTCAAATGAGAAAAAAACCAAAGTTCTGTAAGATGGCCTGGTTCTAATAAAATGTCTTGAAAAAAATATGGAATATTCAGCAACTCTGAAAAAGCACAAAAATGGAATACATAGCAATTTTTGCTTCAGTTCAGTGAAGATGTAACAATAACTGTTACCATTTTCTCTAGCTAATAATGTTAACATGCTAGAGTATCTTACCAGATCATTCCTTGATTGAAGACCAAACCTAGCACATTACCACTAATATCAAACTCTCCATATGAAGGCTGTTGAGAAAACAAGAAATATGATGTAAATGCTAATAAGCCTTATTCAACTCTCCCCAAAACCTAAGCTGATATCCTTTATAGCTCTTTTTTATAAGACCCTGTAAGTGGAGATGTTAGGAATGTTAATTGGGGATCAACTGTAACAAAAGAGAGCAAGTATGGTTAAGATGGTTGAGATGTTGGACGAAGGATAGGGAAATGCAAGTTTTAGTCCATCTTTAGCTACAGAAACCCACTAGTGGACTTGAGCCAGCTGATCTCTCTCTCTCTGTGTCCATCTTACCATATAGGTTGGCCATTGTGGAGACAAATAGGAGGAGCGTGTATGCCAACTTACATTCCTGTACAAAAGGTAGGATATAAATCTAATAAATGATAGATAGACAGACAAATAAACAAGTAAATAAAGTACCCGATGCATAGAGAATTTTTTCTAATCCTATCTGCACAGTTCATTAAGCCAATGAACATTTTTACACTACCATTCATGGGATTTTGTGATTTGCCTTGTATTTGTATAATCAACATTTTAATATTTTTATATTTTAAGATTCTCATTTTCTCTTTTTTTCCTCTTTTTTTAAAAGATACATTTAGTTTTTAAAATGTTACTAGCCATCTTGATGATCTGAGACGGGAAAGATAAGAGATGTTGCTGCTGCTGAATTATGCAATTCAATTCCTGTAGTCTTCACTAGAAATTGAACAAAGAAAATATATAAAGGATCAGCTTAAAGCATTTGCTTAAATCTATTCTAAGCCGAATCTTGTGCTTCCTCTGCAAATAGCTACTTACAAATCCAGCCTCGAGATCCCAGCACCAGCAGTAGTTTACGAATCTGACAAAACAAGCCCGAAGAAAATCTCCCACTAGGATCGTTACAAATGTCACAAGAATATCAGATACTGTAAGCCTCACAAATTCCTGCAACAGAGCAAAAATTGAAAAAGATTTATTTAGCACTTCCTACAATTTCCTTTCTATTTTACATGGAATAAATTTGTTAGGGTAGGTAGAAGCAAGAAAACCTGAGAAAATAAAAATGAGGAAAAATTGGGGGAACACTGGAGGAGGAGGAGGAAGAAGAGGAGGAGGAGGAAGAGGAGGAGGAAGAGGAGGAGGAGGAGAATTACCATTAGTTCATTGCAAAAGGCATCTTTATTTGGAACAGCTTAAATCCTGTGATGATACCTTTAACACTATCGAAACAACAATATCTGCCTATCCCAGGAAAGAACTTAATAGGTGGATAAAAATCCCAATCCAGACTAAACATATGACTGATTATATTAATAATACTACTGACTGGGAGCACTAAATCATAAATCAGAATACCACACCAACCAACTTCAGTCTGTCCCCAACTCCCGGTGAGGCAAGGCAGACGCCCAGTAGCTGAATATACACAAGAATTCTGGGCCATTGCCAGCAAGCTGAACTGGCTAGAAGACATCCTCCTTAGCCATTTCAAAGATGGCCTAAATTACAACCTGTATGATGCTTGCCTGCCCCGGGGGGACCCACACCAACTCGACGAGTGGTACGTCCTGGCAGAGGAAGCAGAGATCAGCCTACTGAAGAGGCACCGCCGAGGAAAACCATGGGGCCGCTCGCCGCCTGAGCCGATGTGTGAGCCATCGAAGCCACCGGCTATGACCAAGAAGCCAACGGGCTGTTTCAAATGCAGGAGAGAGGGGCATTGGGCTGTAGAATGCCGCTTGAAAGCTCCCCAGCACAACCCAGACAGATCACCGGCCAGTAAATCCGGGAAGTCCCCAGCTAAGCCAAAAGAACCCATCATGAGAGTGATAAAGACTGTGGAATCCCCAAACTCTGCCCAACGTGGGGAAGGAACTCCAGCCTACACCACAGGGCCGGTGGACGCCTCAGACGACAGCTCGGAGGGTGAACCCTTGGTAAGTGGACCCATCGCACCCATCCTCAAGACAGTGACTATATTAATTCCCTCCATGCCCAAAGCTGTCAAGGTGAAAGCCTTAATAGACTATTAAGTGGCATGGCAATCTATAAGGAAACCAATAATTCTGTAAAAGTCAGCGTGTAGAAGAAAATTTCAGAAAACTATAAATTAATGGAAATAAATAATATCTCACTACAATGATGAAGGCCACAATTAAATGACCTGATTAGCCTACTCTCCAAATGAAATGCACCATATTTAGTCTTAAAAAATGCTTAAATTGGCTTAAAAATCTTGTTGAGATGGGAATTTAGCAGCAGCTGGCATATTATCCAGTATTGTCCAGCTACCACATCCTCTATTGGATAGTACCTCTCAAACCTTTTTCTTCCAGAAGAACAAAGGTCAATCTCTTTGCTCTAGCTGGGCAATAGGTATCTACTTATGGGATTTCAAAACAGTTGGAAAGCAGCTGAAGAAGGATTCATCCTGCCTGCCAAGGATTGACTTGGGCAGGTAAATAATGCTGTGTGCTTAATGCATGTTAAATTTATACATGCAAAGTTAAAGTATCAAAATGCACATTTATTTAGACAAACAAAGCCATCACTTTAAAAAGAAGTCCTTTCTTTCCAGCCCTTTTATAATCAATTAAATTTTAGTATTAGCCAAGACTTTTCAGGAAGCTGGATTGCTTTCCTTTTCATTATTGTTTCATTTTTTAAAAATCTATCTACCTTTTCCCTGTCTTGTTTAGGGAGTTTTAGGAGAATAAATAAATAAATGCAGAGTTCTAGCACGTCATCATTTTCACATGAGAAATCAGTTTTCTTCAAGTTATTGAAAAAATGAAATATTGAACTTTGCAGAAATTGGAAAGCCTAAACTATGGAAATCTACGAAAAGAAAGAAACAATATTTGTTTTTTTTTTTAAAAAAGAATTCTACAAGGTTTTTATACGAGGCAAAGCTCTTAGCCACCATGCTATGTTAATATCATCAAATGGAAAATCTTATAAATATCATCTACTTGGAAATTGTTTCTTAAATATTTTCTCTCAGAACCTCTTTCCACTTTTAAAAATTATGAAGGACAACAAAAAAGCTTTGTTTGCATGAGTTATATTTGTCAGTATTTATCATATTAAAAATTAAAATCGATGCCTTTGCTGCTTATACTTGCAGCACCCACCAATTGTTTGATGAGATTTTAATATTATATATATTTTTTTTAACATAGACTGACAAATCCTGATTCTTTCATGGAGCCATGACAGGATCTTAGGGAACCTCCACGGGATTACACTTTAAGAAACACTGTAGTAGGACCTCGGTAGGTCATGGCTTACAAGGCTAGTCACAAAATAAAATGTTCCAGCCTAAACCTACAAAAGCCTGCTTTCAAACCGCTGGAGGAAGTATGTAGGAGGTGGAATTTCTGATGGCATGGAGTTGAAATGGATGCCCATTTTAGGGATGGGGTAACTAAAAGCCGGGATAAACCCAAAATATTGATAGGCAATTTGTTTTCCCTTTCAGTTATTGCTGAAGTTATTGCTTTCCCTTTCAGTGAAAATTTATCCTTACACCACAATCAAATTGGTTAATCTTATAAAAATAAATAAATAAAATAAATGTTGAAATCAAAGATTGACCTGTGTAAATTAGGAAAAGTAGCCCCTCTGTCAGAAAATATAATTGACTAGAATAAATGGTAAAGGAAGCCAACCATTTCCTTATGCAAATCTTCTTTGGAAATATCCTCAGTGATCTGAAATAAAGCTATGGAAATAAAAAAAGGTTTATGAAATAGGAATATGGAAAACTATATTTGGTGTAGTTGAACTAAGTATCCATGTCAATACTTGGTAAAGATGGAGAAGATATGTTAGAGGAACATTTAATCACTTATCTTATTCCTGTAGTTCTTTTTATAAAAGTTTATAGACTGATAACTGCTTTCTGAATCTATTAAATGATTTTCAAGTGCATGGACTATAATTTGCTATTAATTTGACTGGAATGAACTCTATCAGAACATTGTCTGAAGCACTGTACAGCATAACTGCTTTTATTTACTTACTATTCCCACAGTTGTTTCCCAGCAAGGTCCTCGAGGTATATCAGCTGGATCCATTGGAGGTGGAATAAGAGCACTTCCATTCCTTGAAGTTGAGTTATGGAAGGTTAGGATAGTCCAATGTGTGATGTTCCTGATCACACCTTCTTCAGTCAGCTGCAATAGGAAAAAAGGGTAATTCTGGATAATTTTATGGTTTCATGTATGTGTGTGTGTGTGTGTGTGTTTCTGTGTACTTGTATTTTAAATTGCTATTCCAACTTTGTATTATCCAGATTTCTAATTTTAATTTCTTCTTGTTGTATGCATGTAGCCTGGGCAAACCTTGAGCATATTCTGATTTAATATTATCCTTTAGCCAAAACTTTTTCTCTGTATGCACTTTTTAAAACTATTCTCACATTGACAATTTTATTTAGAATGGTTTGAATTGTTCAATACCAGTTACCTTGTACTTGTTAATGACTGAAATAAAATTAAGTGAGAAAAAAATTGTAATACAAGAGTGTTAGTTATTTAAACTGCATGCTGGCGCTTTAACAAGATTCCACATATTATAACAGTAATGAAAACAAATTGTTTTGAGGTCATCTGGAACTCAACCAAATTTCATTATTGGTGGAAAATGGCTTATTCTGGGATGCTTCAGCACAAACAATGAATGGCCATCACAACAAATGTAGTAGATATGTGATTATACCTTTTTTTTAAAAAATAAAATTTACAAATACAAAGATAAAAAAAGTAAAATAAATTAAGAAAAATAGAAAAAAATAAAGAAAAATAGAAAAAAATAAAGAAAAATAAAAGAAAAGCTATATAAAAATGGCTTCCCTCTCCTTACATATAAGTACAAGCAATTTAGCTAACTTAATATTTTCGATAAAAATAATACTTCAGTTAAAAATAATCTCTTCTTCCTATATCTCACATCTTATCCATAGTCAAATTACAAAAAAACCCAATCATTCAGTCCTAATCAGCAAAAGTCTGCTAAGAGGTACCAGAAATATTAACCTATATATTTTAATTTTAATAAAAATGTTCAATTTTATAATCCAAAGTTATATTTTTCTCCAACAAATAAGACAGCAGAAATCTTTTCCCACTCACAAATAAATATTTAAAGCTTAGACATACAGTCTAGATGAAAAAGAACTTCCATTAACAGCTACAAGAAGTTATATGGAATATATATTTAACCCTTTGTCAAACAAATTCACTTTATAAATCTTTTCATTTTTAAAAAGCTTAATCTTTAGTCCCATCAAGTAGTACCCCACAAGCTGATTTCTTATCACTATCTCTTTGTCTCTTTCAAGGAGCAGCTTGAAAAATTCCTTTTTCTCTCTTCTAAGAAAGACTTTCTATTATTATATACATTCCTTTTGTAAATCCAAAGTAAGAAGGTTTTCCAAATCTCTCTTTTGTGCAGCTAGATTTTATATATTTTTTCTCCTATTAAAGCAGTTTAAAAAGCCAAAGCTAACAGTGACTCACGAAATATGGGGCACTGTTAAATAATAGGCAAGGCTGATTACATATATATGAGTGTATGCCCTTTTACATTCTTCACCTTTTCCTTGACGTCATCCATTAAGGCCAGTAAGAAAGTATACAGATTCCCCAGGAAAAGTGCAAAGATGCGTCCCAGTTGCCATTTCAGCCCAATGCGAGGATGATAATCTTCTAAGGCTGCAATAGTTTCAAACAGTGGAGGGCAAAACATTCCAAGTAGTGACATAACAATTTCAACCTGCAAAAAAGAGAAAAGAGAATTTTTGTCACAAGGGATCAGCTAAATGCACACCTGCTGCTGACTGAGAAGCTTGGAAACTCTTCACTGAAATGGGACTATCACAGGGCTAGCAAAGGTTAAATAAAGGACGGGAGGTCATGGATGACCAAACTCTGTTTATAGTATTAGGAGCTTCGGTCATACCACGGCAGTCATCATCTTGACTTTATTCTTGTGTGAAAGTGAAAGTGGGCTCTATTATTGCCTCCATTAGCTGTCCTACAATTCTATTCATGCTGAAAAATGAAGACCAGAATGTGAGTGAATTTAATATTAAAACAAAAAGAGCTTCACTTCCATCCCCCATCCCATAAAAAGTAATGTGAACAGCTGTTTAAATTCCCAAGGCTCTACAATTTTTTTTACTGCTTTCTAAGTGATAGCAAAACAGGTGCAACCAGAACATCTGGAAAGAAGCTATTCCAAGGGATGCAGCAATCATTTTAGGGTTCTCTATCTCTCTTGGATGGTGAATTCTGAAACACCTTCTTCTTCTGGATCATATGCCCAGAGAGGCAGATTCATTTGAAAAGAGATGGTCCCGAAGGTACTAATAAAAGCTAAAAGCAATCAAAGTACAACGCAGGAACAGATGACTTTTGTCTGAACCGGGCAACAGAAGCAGTGCCAGTACTATACAAATGTTTAAAAACATTGTTGTCTTACTTCGTTTCTTTCATACCAGCCAATGTTTTGCATTTTTGAAAAGGCCTGGGATCGTTTCACAACAAAATAAATGAGGTAGCCGCTTCCACATAAGCAACATATTATAAGTACATTGGCCAGAACCCTCAGAAATCTTCTTAGATGGATGTTTTCATCTTTGTTGCTTTCTTGCTCATCCACAATTGACTCCTTAATATAGATGTAAGAAACAATGGGAATAATTATTTAGGGTGTAGCCCTATGCAAATGTTACAGAAAATAAGTCACATTATATTCAGACTCACAAATTTTCTGGATACGTATGTAGGATTGCAGCCTACTGTATATGAAAACACACACATTCATTTGCAAAACAAATAAAGTTGTGATTTTTAAACAAAGGACACCCTATTTCATAACATATGGATGATAACAGTTTTTATAAACATTTAAATACTTTTTATAACCAGCTATAAATAGCTAGCTTTTATAATCTATTGCTGCTTTCTTGTTACATTCTTAAAATGCAGATGAATATAGTGATATACAAAAACTGACTTTAATTATTTTGATTACAAATGAACAAAAGAAGGTGGAGATGGCTGGATCTAGTTCTAGTACCTACATATATGTACGTTTCTCCCTTTGAAAAGGGATGATGAAAATGAAATTTGTGCAACTGCTTCCTCCTATGACCCAAACTACTCAATTTCTTGATTTTGAAAGAATGCTGTTCTAGAGCAAAAGTGCTGCCACTGCGAAGGCTTGTTTCCATGGTTCAACAAGATAACATTGTTTAATAGAAGGAAACTGGATTATGCCCTCTCTACTAACTCTGACGGGCAGAAACAATAAGAGAATGATGGTGCTGTAAATAGCCTGGCCGTATGCCATTGACGGCTTTGTAGATAATAACCAGCACCTTGAATCACACCCACAAGCCTATTAAGAGTCAGTACAGCAACAGTGTTACATAGGCATAACAAGAAATAGCAAAAAATGTCTATGCCTCAGTATTCTGAACCAGCTGTAGCTCCTGAGTGCTCTTCAATGGCAGTAGTATGTAGCGGGGACTGCCTGAGAGTGCTCGCAGGAGCTTGACTGGGAAGGAAAAGATTGGGACAGCTGCAGTTGGCTTTGGGTGTGGCTGGCGTGAGGGGAAGGAGGAAGGATAGAAAAGGAAAGGAAAAGAGAAGGCTGGGGTGGTTTTGAATCCTGAGACCTGAGGAGGAATTCTAGAGAAGCAGCACCAGGAGGAGAGAGACTGGTGGTGCCAACTGTTGCTGCCAACTGTTGTTGTGGACTTTGGAGGCATCTGGACTGTGGCCATCGCTGCTGGCATAGGTGCTGGGACATTGTGGGGGGAGTTGCCCTGGGGGATGAGCCATTGCCATAACATACTGGCCGTCATTGTTATTATTACCATCTGGAGCCGGGGTTTACC